CTGCATTCAGTAAAACAAAAACCAGAAAGCGCCAGCAACGTTAATTACCAACACCTTCGTTTTTTTTTTTTCAAAAAAGAACAAAACGTCAAATACTTATTTACATGTAAATTAGAATATTACGCTATAAACAAAGTAAAATTTCTTTAATACTTTTACCTTGAAATAATTAAAATATAACTATATATTTTTTTAACAAAACCTTAAATATTCGTACATGCGTGCAAGAAATAGATTTCCATGCAAATGCAATAAGAAAACCAATAAAATGTTTGCAAAAATGCTAATATTTGAAAGCATGCATAGTATCTTACATTGTGATAAGGGTCTTCTAAGTACATAGTCCTTTTACATCTAAAGGCATAACAGGCAAAAATACGTTTATATATTAATTGTAAAAGAATAATGTAAGAAAACTTCCAAACCATTACATTATATTTATCACGTGTGACACGTTTGAAAATCATAAAAACAAACTCTCAGAAAGATGCAATCCCAAAACATTAATTTAAAAAAATCAGTGTTAATGTTTACTTAATTGAACTGCAATGATAACTTATCACACATATAAGCTCTTCATTAAACTAAAATGTATCATATGACCTACGAAAAAAGCAAAACTAAAAATATTAATGAATGTAATTTTACCTGTGAAACTTCATTTTGCTGCGGTTGAATTTGATTCATAGGCGCCGGCGTTAAAAAGTCTACAGGAGCATTAGGGTCGCTAACTGGAGCAGGGATAAAAAAATTCATTTGGGGAGCGTTATTATTATAAGGGGCCATGTTAGAATTAAAATTATCTAGTGCAGCAACGGATGGATTAGGAACGGACGATGTCTTACTTCCAGGATTAAATACGTCAACATACGACTTTTTTATATCTGAAATTAAAAAACTGGATTATGAGAGAAATTGCAAGTATAAAGAAATATAATATTATACATAAAAGAAATTATGAGTGCTGTCAGCACAGGACAATGTAGTATTACGTAAATGAAAGTGAGTATCAGTATTTTCTTATGCTGAAGTGTATGATGTGTTGCATATCTATTTACAATCAATTCCTTTAAATTTTAATCATTGATTAATATATACTATACATCTATTAAAAAACCATAATGGCCGACATCAGTGACAATGCGACAACAATTGAAAAAGAATGATGGCCGACAACGGCAACAATTGAAAAAGAATGATGGCCGACAACTGCAACAATTAGAAAATAATGATGGCCGACACTATGTCATAGAGAAGCAATAAAAGCTGCCGGGGATGTTTTAAAATTAATTAACACTTTTTTCGCCATATTACAGGAAATATTTTCAGTTAAGTCCTATACCTTCAATACACTACACCCTAGTCACTTTTAATGATAAAATAATTGGT